CTACATTTTAAATTCAAATCTGCTGAAAAAACAATTGTCAATAATATTCAAAATAGCTTAGCGTTAAATGGTACAAGTAAGAGTAATGGACCGATTCTGCCGCATAACAGACAAATGTTATGACAAGGCTATGTTATGAAGACTTTTCCATACAAATTCGTTCTAAATATTGACAAAAGCCTTGTGCTTGATATGCAAGCGTTTTTCTCAGGTTGTCAAATAGAAAACCTAACCTAGAAACTGTACAAATGTCAAAAAACGATCTTAGATAAAATGGTCTTTCTGACACAGCTTCATAACATACAAGTAACGTTGCAGTTTATGTGTAAAACGCCCGAATGCACAGCAAATACATTCTGACAGTATCCAAACTGATTCAGTTGCATAATGTATGGAAGATGGATAATGCAAAATGGCCTTGCCATAACATTGGTCTGTTGTGCGGTAGAATCGGCCTTTAAGTTTGGGAATATTAACTATAAAGGCTGTCTTAACGATTGTGAAGAAAAATACTTTACCTAGGGTGCAATAATAGTTACGCATAAAATATCTATTTATTATAGTAGGACTCGTAGTGGTTAGGGCAATGGGCAAGTTTGGTACGTGTCTCGGAGAGTCTGATGTCAGAGTGACATCGGTTTTGACTTGTAAATATAGATAGAAGGCATTGCTGCATAAAAAAATTCATCAGCACTCTAGAAATTGTAGATAATACTAAATTTGATCACATAGAGATGGTACGACTGCTTGGGTTGCCATCTATAAACAGCTCATACGATCCTTATAGGACCTTTAAGTTCTGATCGCTTGTTTCTATTAAAAACTGACTCCATTGATATATTCATATATTTTATGCATTTATGCCATGGTTATGCTTATAAAATAAATGGTGCGAATTCTCTCGGATATATCAGGAAGTAATTAGTATCGACACGACATTCTGAACTTGATGTAGATTTCGAGTTCTTGAATAAATCGTTTGTGATTTGATGCGAAAAGTGATATACGCATTGTAACCTGATAAGCCGTGTGCTGTTTGCGAACAATCATTTTTATTGCGTCAATGAAATTCTTTTTGGCGAATTGGACAAGTCTGCGAAGAAATGAATTGTTCTTATTACTTTACTGAATTATTTGAATTTTTATTAAAAATGAGAAGAGAGCCCGTCGTGGGGTTAGAGGTAACGAGTAATAGCAATTCCTAGTCCCGGGTTAGATTTCAACGTTGGCCCGCTCGTCAAGCAGTATGGTACCAGATTATAGATCCCAAGTCAAACAATTTTTCGATGGTATTGCTGCAGCTTACACGCATAACTATTATATTAACCATTCTTCAGAGATAGGGTTGCTTTTCATGAAATATTTGGTTATTACTTCAAACAAACAGCTTATAGTGCAAGCAATTCTGAATAGTTCTGATTGTCAAGCTAATGATGCATGGCATCGTGCCTTAAGGCAAATTGCTATAACTTCACGTATCATAAAATTTATTTGAACACATAGATTTTTTGGAAAATTTATAGACAAAATATCGAAGCGCGTACGCGCCGCGTCTGACGGTTAAGCATCATAAATTTTGGTATGGAAGCCATAGAAATGTAAACAAAATTTTTACTTACTACTAAGATCTCTATAAAATATCTGATCATTGGATATGCATATGTTTTATGATCATTTTTGACCGCCAAATGGCATATTTTCAAACTTGGATCTATGGATATGCCTTATCAAAAATTTCACATTTTTCATTTTTTCATTGCAAATGAAATCATTTGAATCATTCAAATCGGACGCCCCGTTCTCTAAAACTGATTTGCCACTTTTGGCATTTTGCTCCGTATCTCCGAAACGACTGGACCTGTCTCTGCACAAAACTACTCAGCACTACTCTTCATCAATGGGAATCGAATGCTATTTGAATCATTCATACTTACACATCCATACTTACTTACTACACACGCACATACACATATCCGTTTTTTTTAATTTTTGTGAGGTAGGCCAAAATGTTCAGAAGGCTTTGTAGCATAAAAATATATAAAAAAAATTATTTTCTATTTTATTGCGATGACTATAACTTACCCTCCGGAAAGTTAAGAAAATAAGTAAGAAATAATTCTTTAGAATTGAGTGAAATAAATCTCACAAATAGATGTTAATCAATAACGGTTTGGTTCTCTCAATTACATCAATACCTCTCATAGTATTGTAAATTAAATAGTTATTCCAATATCCGTATCTTATGTTTACAGCTATCTTGCAAATTCTAAAAAACGGATTTAACAAATGTATTAGTTAATTTTATTCGCATTTTGGTACATGACTTCGATTAACTTTAAATATATTTCAGTTATTTAATTATGTCACGTAATTTAAATTGAAAGTGAAATAATTTGCAATTTACATTTGTCATTCGCTATTACTTTCTTTTTGTATTCCGCTTACTACTTTATTTTTTGTAAGTATAATACCTGAAAAAATAGTTGAATTGCATAATTAAAAATTTAAAAAAAATATAATGAATACATGCGTGTTTGTAATTTTACAGAGACATACATTTCTAGAACCAAACACCTAATTACTTAATCATTAAAAAAGCTTTGCGAATGTTAAATGTGGGTATGTTAATGAACTAAATATTTATCAATTTCAAATTTCCTCAGCAAGTTTGCACTGATTCAAAGAAGGAAATCATTAAGTATTCAATGCGATCAAGATCGATCGATATTTTATAATTATATATATTTGCAGCGGCGCGTCGAACGATATTTTTCAATATCATAACGGGTCCGAAAACGCTCTTACCCGAGACGTATTATCAACAAATTTAATTTATAGCACTCTTGATTATTTAATTATTATAGCTGGTCATAAATTATTCGGCCTGAATTTTATTAAGGAATTTTGGTATTTATCCGGTTACGTTGTATATTTTCTCTTGGATATATCGTGCTGAAATTATACATTGTTCCTCTAATGGATATGAAACGTGCTGAATCTTTATTGATTAAAACTTTTTAATTAACTCAAACAAAATACTTTGATTAACTGACTGAAATCTTACAATCAAACAAAAAAATTTAATGCCACTCAGTTGTTATATGTGACGAATTTTATCCATCGCAATCAGAAACTAATTTGCAAATGTAAATATACATCACTACAGTCTGATGTTATGTGACTTAAGCTTATTACTGTTAGTTTACAATAAGAAATTTTCGATTTTTTTCTAAAATTTTTGACTTATGCAATTCTATTTTTTTTTAATTTATCATACCTATAATAGAAACTGAAGCTTTAAATTAAATATAAAATATAGTTACAAAAATAGCAAATGACATATGTAAAACTGGAAACTATTTTGTTTTAATTCTCATTCCGTGGCTTAGTTAAATAACTAAAATATTTTAAAATTAATTGAAGTGAAAATTCAAATAAAATTAACGAACACATTTTTTTATTGATATTTTAAAATTTGTTAGATAGCTGCAAATAAAAGCATAATTTATCAATAATACTAATTCTTGTTATAAAGGTAGTTCATTCGTGTTTTGAAATCTTATAGTAATTAGTATAGTAATTAGTATACAAAAGTATTAGTCCTTTTGCTACGAGTGTCGTCCATGGACGACATGTTCTGTGTTGGTTTTTGCTTTTTAACTATAAGTTGAACTATTGGCACCTTCAATTTTCATTGTAATTTTTAGTTTATTAGAAGGGCAATTTTTGATTTTTCAAAACATTTTTATCAATAATGATAGAAGTATCTTAAAATGAATCGTTGAGCTTGGTCCTTTCGTTAGCACTACTAATAGACATGCTGTTTCTACAAATATACCTATTCCTATTATTCTGTGTATTTTTATAATGACAACTACTACTTTAAAAAAAATGTTCGCTAATTCCTAAGAAACGGCTTAGCCGATCGTGGTACAAAACTAAGAAACACGAGCCTTTCCATTCGGATGCCGTCGCTCCGACAACAAAATACATACAAATTTTGAAATGCCCGAGTGGAAAGGGTTAGAACACATGGACGAAGGCTAGTATACACAGATATATTTTCTAGTTTTGCTGTCAAACGATTCAGAATCGCTGGAACCGACTAAAAACATAAAATTAGCGAATTGGACTTAATGACTAAAACATTTTAAAACCTTTTCTCCAGGAAGTTATTAAAATAAAGTGTGATCACGATTTGAAGGTTCATTTTCTTTTGTATCTTTCTACTGTTGACAAACTAATTGTACGACACTTTCAGAATATTGAAGTAACTCTTAAATAATTATTTCTTTAGCAGAACATGGTTTTGAAGAGAGAATAAGAACATTGACGATAATCTGATTACAATCTTATCTCGTTTTATATGTTCGTGCCTGCCATATAAATCGTCGAATTGATCAGACTGCGCTTGATACTGATCTCCGAATGCACAATTTACGAGCCCATTTCAAACAGCCTCACATCGCTAAATATATATATGACAACGATTTCAATCAATTACTTAATAAGCACCTTTATGACCAACCCGAAAACGTACGTCAATTTGATCAGAATTATTGATGGTAATTATTATTATTGGTCAATTTTATGATGTTGGATTTATTAGCAGATGACGAAATTTAAAACGATTTCACGTCATAATTTAGTGTTATAGCAATACGCACTGTAAATATGCTTTTAAAAATTATTAACTTGCATGTAGATATCAATGTGCACAAGACTAGACTTAACAACTAAAATATTTAACATGGTGTGAATTTAACATGAAGATCATGGTTTTGGCAGAAGGTAAGTACAAACTTGCTTATAGTAGTGCTTTTTTAACGTATGCTGCTTATTAGTTTATTTTATTCATATAATATTACTATTTGCTTATTGCTTTCAATAATAATTTTGAGTAATTGATGCCGCAGGAGGTGGGTAATTAATGCAATTAATCCCTGATCGCTGAATATCACAATGAAACTTTATAATATCTGTTGGATTTTTTATTACAGTGTTTCGCCATGCTGGTTCACCTGCCAGTGGTATTCTGTCGCCCTCATTCAAGGAGCGACATCATAGCTGGAGAGGATTTCCTGGCTCTGTTTATGTCAGCCAGTAATGAAGATGATAGAACTGATCTTGAAGTTCAAGCAAGTACCATGCAATACGACGTAGCGGCCTTAAGGCCAATAAGCAGAGGCTCCCGAAGTAGCAGATATGAAAAAGAACACTCAAACGATCTTGATAGAGGTGTTAAGATTGAATATCTTCCTTTGGAAGCCATGTTTACAACTGTTAAACAAAAGGATGATATCGATGATGGCTCTGAGGAAGATGATATAGAAATGAGAAAAATATCTGATGATATTCAACAAAGACTGAGGCGAATATACACGCAGCACCAGGAAATTAATAGTAAAACCTCGAGCGAACAAACGCGCGTTAAAGATACTAGGCCTGCTCAAGTAATTGCTGTCAGTGTGTCATCTTCTGTAGGTGTTTCTAGAGTGCATAAAAATCCAGTCACCGAGAAAGTAGTTGGCAGGAATAAAGTTTCTGCGGCCGATGATGCTGTCGTTATTTCTAAGAACAAAAAAAGTGATTTTAACATCGATGAAGGCGAACCCACTACTAAAGAAAAAGATTATATTCAAGGAGAGTCGACAAATAAGCATGCAGTAATAACTGCACCAGGCGCGAACGAAGCTTATTTAGAACAACAAAGGACTCGTCATCAAAGAAGACAAGAACCGATGCATCCATATCATCAGACTATCATTTTCCATAATGAAAATAAAGAAGGAGCACAGGCGAGATCTGTATCTTACAGCTCCGTCGTGCAGTCATTTAATCCGTCTGGTGAATGGAAAGGAACTGATGCAAAGGATATGCCTGTTAGCAAGAATATTACAGATTTTGACGAAGATATAAAGAAATTTACGGGAAAGATCTTTAATGAGCCTGCTAAAAACTACGGAGAACCAGAAAAAATATATTCGGAGCCAGCTAAAATATATTCAGAACCAGCAAAGGTATACGGACAACCAGAGAAAATTTATTCTGAACCTGCTAAGGTATACGGAGAGCCAGCTAAAATATATTCAGAACCCGCCAAGATATATTCCGAACCAGCAAAAATCTACTCAGAACCGGCAAAAATATACGGTGAACCAGCAAAGGTGTATAGTGAACCAGAAAAACCATATCAGGAACCTTCCAAGTTTGGCGCTATTGTGAAACCTATAGTTTCAGTCAAATTTGGAACACATATTTCACCGGATAAAGAAGAATTCATTACACATCCAGTAGAAGCAAAAACTAAAACTGATAAACCAACGCAAGTTCCTCCGACGATAGTAGATTATAGTAAGAAAACTTATGATGAATTAAATGCACCTCGGGAAGAAGTTAATTTTGAATCTAAGAAAATAGTAGATGATGGAAGTTACCGGCCTAGTGAACACGAGCACGTTGAACAAAATTGGGAAGAACCCGAACAAGACTACAGGCCGGTGACGCCAGTTCCACGAGGCGAGCAGTATGAATCAACTCCTGAACAGAATTATGAGGTTGATGAAGCTGTCAGCGTCCAGACAAATGGACGGGCACACGGAGTGCAATCTCCCAAGAAAAAAGATGATGAAAATCAAAAAGTGGGCTATGTTGTGGAAGGAAGAAACTTCCGAAAGTATCGTGTTGAGGAACGGACTGCAGATGGTTTTATAGTTGGTGAATACGGAGTGGTCAGTCACGACGACGGTAGTTTAAGAGGCGTCAGATATACGGCCGATGGTACAACGAATCCTAGGCTAATATACGACGCGCTAATGAAGTTCTTGTCATTATAATGTGGTATACATTTGATACTGCCTTTAATACGCTTCTTTGTTGTTAATGTCTGGATGTATTCTAATCAACAAATATTATACAACCACACGTAGAATTAAGACGTTTTTAGATCTAACTATGAGACTGATTTAGGTCCATCGGTTGAAATGAAAGCTGATTTTGAATAAATTACCGTACTGTATGTTACTTTGGATAGTGATGTGATTTGTTTTGCAAAGTGACTCGTTAAATAAATATAATACTCATGGACTGCCATTTTATGTCTTTAATATTTAAATTTAATATTTAATGTTATTGCTGTTTAGCTGGTTACGATATAGTTGCAATTTTCAAATTTAGATGTTATGTGATAATAAGATAAAGTTTATGTAGGTATTTCTGTAAGAAATATTATTGTATGCATCATTATTGAGCAATGTAGAGATATATCCTGTAATGAAAACCTTCAAGTTGATTGTGTTTCAAATTTTGATTTACATTACCTCGCAATGTTGTATTTTCACATTACACATTTTTGTTTGGGCTCCCTCATGAGTAAGTGGCTAGAGCGATGGGATTTGATTCGGGGGTTCCTTGTTTGATACCCGCTTCGAGCAGCCTGATATCAAGTAGTAGTGATATCGGTTTCTTCCTGTATAAGCTTTGTAACTTTGTTCTAATTGAGTAGATATTATAATAAAATATTTAATTCCATAAATTTAAATCAATCGGAAAAGTATCATATTAAAAACATTTTTACTCGAAATACGTTTATTTATACGAAAATGCCCAATTATAAAATTAAATGCTAGTCATATTTCTATTTAATTTTTGCATATTTCAAATTTCTATCACATTTATAATAATCCTATTATTCAATTCATATGATTTAGCATTGCTAGGTGACAAATCTTTTAATTTTATAGAAATCAAAATATGAAACACATTTACTAATTATATCTCTTTACTATTGTAATCAAAATATTTGCTATAGAGATGACTTGATGTTTATTTGCAAATATCTTTTTGATACATGTTAAAGTAAATTATAATGCATTTCTAGATATTTTTGCAAATTTTTCTCTTTTTATCTCAATAGCAAAACAATTTAGTCTTACTGTTAGATGAAGATTTTGTAGAAATGTTTTGTAAATATAATTATTAAGTCATATTTTTTCACTTATATGTAGTAAATAAGATATTGCAGTATTGATTTTTTATTAATTAAACTCATGTTATTGTACTTTTTGAGATTTTTTCATTTGACAGACCATTAGAAATTTTCATGTATAACGTTATGCTTAATCTTGCTTAGACTTTATTTTTATAGATTTAGGTGTAAATATATGAAACTATGTAATCATTATTATAACAATTTAGAAACAACATAATTTATTTTCGTTATTTTAAATAATTTTATTTAAATACGTTTTAATGTTAGATGTCAATGAAAGTGTTTTACCGATGTTCTTAATAAACGTAAACGTTCATTTAGTTATAATTTTTCATTTATTTTAGGTAGATAATCCAAAAGTATTTTAATTAATTTTAACATTTGTCAATCAGTCTGATTCAGGAGTTGTAAATATTTTAATGCATTTAAGGACCAACCTTCGACAGCTAATTAAAGAATTAAGTTTTGTGAACTATTTAATTTTTTAATTTAATTTAGTTCACATAAGTGTTACCTAGACTCGATAGGTTTCATTGTTAAACAAATTGTAGAAATTAATATGTCCAATAATTTATATTTCTGTAATAAAATTTATTGCAATGTAAATTGTCGTTTTATTTTTATTGTGCATAAAATGTTTTATTTATTGTGTCATAGTGGTTCTCCTATAGTTTGCATTAAGTGAAGTCATTAGTAAATTAATTGGCAGAGTGCATTTTTATCATGTCGATAAATATTCCTGTCAGTTTCATTGTTTGTGTAAAACTTGAATGATATCGTAAATTTCTTTAACTTTTATCAACCATAAACTTTTATTGAAGCTATAAAAATGAACATTTCTTTACATGCAGACACTTAATACATGTTGTTACGTGTATCGTTCACAATATTTTACTCTAAATTTTTACAGTTTAATGCATACAATACAATAATTTGAAAAAAATATAAATTTTTAATTTTTTGTCAGGAAAATTATTAAAACACTAAAAAAAACTGTTTAGCATCTAAACAGCTCAAGGCCTCTGTAGTATTTTGTCATATGTGAAATAAGATATTTCACAAAATTATTGTGATTTTAATATAGCCTCTTCATAATAAATAGAATTTAAACGGTGACGATATTTAACTGTTACTTTTCAGAATAAAGTTTCCGCTTTTTACGAAGAGACGTTCGATTTTTACCAAAAATTAATCAGACCGATTAATGTCTTCTTAACCAACTGATGTCTTTTGAACAATTAATACTTTTCTTAAATTGGGTCAAGATTTTTAGCAAGAACTTGCACACAATTTTGCACTAATTAAGGGAAATTGTTATCGAGTTTTTGAAATCGGTTCAGCCGTTTTTGAGAAAAGGTCAAATTGTGGCTACATACACACACATTGTTGCACTGTTTCCAATTTCCTGAGCAATTTAGAAAATCAGATTTTCAAGATTTTTATTATAACAAAAATGGGTAGTGCAATTCGTGTTAGATATGATCATATTTTAAAATATTTTGATATTTAACTTCCCGTAGCGTAAGTTGTAGTGATCGCAAAAAAATTATAATGAATTTTTTTATATATTTTTACGATTCACAGATATCTGTGTGTGTGTGTTACAAATTTTCAAATCCGGATCAACGGATTTGAATAATTCAAAAAACTTTCGATTTGTATTGATAAGGAGACGTGGTGATTAGTTTTTGGCAAAGGCAGATTTCACCGTTAGATAAATTTAAATATATAAAAAAATTTAAAATATAAAAAAAATTTTAATTTTGTCAAGACAATTTTTTTCAAAAACTTCAAAATTCTCAAAAATCTCATTTTTTAAGTTTTCAAAAATTTTAAAGGTTTTTTAAA